GGCATCATGACTGGGGCACAGCTCCAGCCCATCCATTTCTTAAAGCGATTAAACAAATCTCCCCAATTATGCAATGCGCCAGCTGTTATTATCTGAGCTCGAGCAAGTGAGTGCGACACTGATCCAACACTGAACGAGTCAACGTACCGTGCAATCGTAGAAGACGAATCGTCAAAACACCTGTGAGTCATTTCGTAGGGTAAAATGTATGGTAAACGTCGTAGGCCTTGAGTCATTTCTCCACCTAGACCCAGGGAATGGGAATAAGGAAGTAGTGGTGACAGCTATGCGCTACCATTGGGCCTATGACTGTTAGCTGATGAACAATAAAAAAGGATCATCACAACATTTGACAAATTCCGTTGCTGCTGTGAACAAGATTCTGACACCCTGAACCTCCCGCCAAGTTCCAAACCCAGACTCCGTCGGTATATCTGACCACGCACTCGTGTGTTCTGCTCTTCGGCAGCTGGACCGTGGGGAGCTGGAGCAGCTGTGCTGCCAGATGCAGAGGACGCACCGGCAGCTGATGCGGGCTCACGAGCTGATGCAGGCGCAGCCCAGACGGGCCAGCCGAGCCGAGCTCGAGGACGAGCTGCTGGCCTCGCAGGTCAGTGGAGGGTGGCGGCTGTCGGGGAGGGGAGCTGCTGACCTCGCAGGTCAGTGGAGAGCGGCGGCTGTCGGGGAGGGGAGCTGCTGACCTCGCAGGTCAGTGGAGAGTGGTGGCTGTCGGGGAGGGGAGCTGCTGACCTCGCAGGTCAGTGGAGAGCGGCGGCTGTCGGGGAGGAGAGCTGCTGACCTCGCAGGTCAGTGGTGAGCGGCGGCTGTCGGGAGGGAGAGCTGCTGACCTCGCAGGTCAGTGGAGAGCAGCGGCTGTCGGGGAGGGGAGCTGCTGACCTCGCAGGTCAGTGGTGAGCGGCGGCTGTCGGGAGGGAGAGCTGCTGACCTCGCAGGTCAGTGGAGAGTGGCGGCTGTCGGGGATGAGAGCTGCTGACCTCGCAGGTCCGTGGAGAATGGCGGCTGTCGGGGAGGGGAGCTGCTGGCCTCGCAGGTCAGTGGAGAGCGGCGGCTGTCGGGGAGGGGAGCTGCTGACCTCGCAGGTCAGTGGTGAGCGGCAGATGTCGGGGAAGGGAGAACATTAGTCTCTTCAAGTTAAAAATTTTAATTGACGACGTCTATAACTCTGCAATGAGTTTCGGTAATTATGATGGAAGTGCAATAGAAAACGCAACTGTTTTAAATGGGTAGTGGTCGCATGGAACAGCGGCAAACGACTGCATCATTTTCATGGACCAGTCTTTCGGTTTAAGCCACAGCTTCATGCATTCGAGAGGAGTTTCAAAGTGCTATTGACCGCTTTAAGGTATGCTGTTGGTACACCTGACGGTCGGGCAGTTTTGAGATGTTAAGTAAGTTGTAGCCGGTACATTTGCGCGCCCCGTGCGGCCGTTGTCACGTCACCATCTCTGGATGCTGAGATCCAACATCAGCTCTTAAAAACGCCCCAAACTGGGCGGACCCGTGGGCTGCAGACAACAGCGTATGTTGGGGTGCACAGATGGACCCACACCTGCTGGTACGTTTGTTTGTTTTTCACGTCACTACTGATCGGACTCCGGTCCAGCGGCGAGGGCAGGAGAAGGGCGCAGGAAGGTACCAAAAGGCCTCCCGTGGGTCCCAAGGGGCGGAAACTACGGAACCGAAGATTAAGAGCCCAATTTGATGGCTCAAAGTGCCCCAAGGCTGGGCAGAGGTCGTATGCCCACGGGCCGAGCCCTCAAATGTCAGCCAAAGGTCACTTTGCACTGATCGAAAGCACCCTGCATCGATGCGGGTCTCCATGCCAGTCAGGCACCACCAGGGCCGAACTAACGGCTGCGTCGGTCTCAGACCCGTGGGCCCATTTCCCAAACAGAGACACGGCCGGGGCTGGATAGTTGCATTGATCGGGCCGCTGAAACAATGAGAGGCCCACAGTGTATCACAGGGGTCCTGTGCCTGCAAATGATCCGAGTCGGCCAGTGAAACACTTGCTGAACAGGGACACAGACGGGACACGCAAATCCAAGAGGGCCTTTCGTGTTGGTCGGGTCCTCTGAAAATGAGAAGATGGAGGAAAATGTATAATGTGAGTCCTCGATGAGACAATGGAAAGGCTCCTGTGACGATCAGGAGCCCCATTACCAAATAAGGGCCCTCCGCTCCAATTTCAGCCAGGGGCTAGTTAAGGCGGACCCGGTAAGTCTCTTCATCAGTTATTGGACCCCTTCAGCAATAAGGGATCATTTTGTATCAACGAGGGCCCTGCGTCGATTCAAGGACAACTTTCCAGGTCAGAGGGCCTCTCGCGTCAGGGAGGGAGCCATGTGTGATGTGTCCCTCTCAAGACCTCCGGATGGCCAAGTTACCCCTCTCCGTGTCGCCAGAAGGGTAGCCCGTAGACACCTCGCGCTGGGGCGGACTGGTCCTTCAGTCCCTTCCGGAAAGAATAATGTTCTACCCGAGAGACCTTTCCCGGAAAACGTAAGGAGTCTTCAATGATGGCCAGAGCCAGAGCCGCAGTGTCCGTCAAACAGAATGACATTGGCCGCTCCAGCTAACACCCGGTGGCGGGCTCCTGGCGCGCGTGAACGACCGTCGTGTAAAATACTTTCGAAAGTCGTTAGACATCTATTCGTGCCGCTCAGAGATAAGAATGGAGTGAATATTCCACCTGAATGGTTTGAGGGATATCCAATTAACAGAATGATAGCTGCTGCGACACGGAAAAGGGTTTTACCTTTGCTTTTTCAGTTCCACCACTAGATTCCAACACCAATTCGCGATGCTGAAAATACTAATCCGGCCGCATTGCCAATGTAAAAATAACACGGGCGAAACATGCGCACGAATGGCCTTTTAAGCATGCTAATTGACGCCCTAAAGCGTTCGAAGGCACTTCCTCCAGATGCACCATCGTTTTTGTCTGCCTGCGGGCGGCCGCCCATTGTAGGCCGCGGGGCCGATGCTGCCCGGCTTTCGGTCGCAGCGCCGGGCGCCGGGGTTTTTATTTCAGCAAGCGGGTGTGTGCATAATTATATTTTAGTCTTATTTTCTGCCAAATTCTGAAGAACGTTGAATATTGCCAGACAATCATAGATTGGGCAAGTTAATATATAATTTCGACCACATTTGGACAACAACGTACGTTCGTAGTGCCCTCATTACCTCCGTCAAAACAGAAATATTCCAGCAAAGCATCCAAGTATTGTCGTTTAAGATTATCTCACTGTGTCAATGTAAAATGAATGGTGCCGGCAGTTTATTCCACGCAGTCATTTGACACCTGGTTACATTAATCTATTGCTTTTATGATACAAACACAATTGCATGCTCCGTTTACTTGTGGCTTCTGTTTGAGTTAAAGAATGCAAGCAAAATAATTTTCGGGTCCCTCAAAATCAAGTGGGCCACATCCAGTGGTTGTTTAAGAGAGTCCTTCACCCGCAAGGTGACCTTCGTCAACCCTGTGCCCCCCCCCCCCCCCCCCATTTATTAAGACTCTGCCTGTGCCCTGGCTCCGGTCACCACTATTCCTGGTTGCCTAGTTTTGGAACTATTCATTACTCTCATCCTCTAGCTTTTTCACATCTCGAAAGCGTTTCGTTTTCCGTGTCAATCAAATGGGAATGTCTAATATTGACAATAGAGTTAGGTTGCAAAAATACGCCGTTTGACCAAGCAGTCTGCAATGAAGCGCCGGTGCTGATAAATACTGCATCATAATTTTCAGGATTTGCGCTACTTATTACAGATGCTGTATGGCTTGACGATTAGGAGCTGAAAATGTATAAATCCGTAAAAAGCGTGACTGTCCAGGGCTTCCCGCTAGAGTTCCGATTTGGTTGACACCAAGACTGACTCGACGTGCGACCCCGCTGGCAGCCGGAGCTGTAAAGCTGTGGGCTGGAGATGCCCTGTTGGCTACCTTTTAGGTTGTCGTGTGATTTGTGTTGTAGCGATGACCATGACGCTTCTTTCTACTCGCATCATGCAAGAACGTTGGACCTCCGGAGCAGCAGCACGGCCCCGTATCCCTCGTCCAGTGCTGCCACCTATAGCCGGATGTGTCGGTCGGCAGACGCTGGTGCGGGACCTGGAAGCGGCGCTGCTGCGACGCGGTGTCCAGCCGACGACACTACACGAGAAGAGCCTGCTCACCGAGCAAAACCTGTGGCTCTCGCGGCGGCTGCGGCAGCTGCGAGCGGCCGAGGCCAGCGCCAGGAACGAGCTGCAGGAGCTGCGAGACCAGAACGAGCTGATGGAGTTCCGCATCTTGGAGCTGGAGAGTGACAGCGACAAGGCACGTTTGTGCACGTAGCTGGCCCACGCAGTCGGTCGGTACCCGGCGTCGACTCAGCCGCATCTGCTCCTACCTCGTCTCCCGTCCCGGCTTCCATCGCGGCTTTGACTTCTGTTAAATCGCCGACCAGCGTTCTATTGGTGTATAATACGTGCAGTTTTGCTGCCTCTGACTCACGGAAAGTGTTGTATACTTTTTAGCCAATTTCAATATCAAGTAATCACGATGTATGCCAGTGGCCGGAATCGATTCCAATGGGGGCTCACCCAGCTTTCAAAAGCTGCATCGTTTTAATCAGTTCTCCAATTTCACACTGCTGCTGCACGCAGACGTTTCCGTTGCACAATTGTATAAAGGCATTGTCCGTTCGTCTTTAAGTCCGAGTTCATCAGTGTGTTCATTCGATTCTGTCCATCCAGCCTCACCCTGGTATTCGTTAGATTCTGCCTAACTGTTCCTCCGTTCGTTTGCAATTTTCCTTTTCGTTGGTCCTAAGTCCCGATCATTCGTGTGCCTCCCAGCGGCCACGAATGCCCACTTGTCTGGCTGACAGCGAATGGCTATGGTTGTGTACTCGCTTTGTTCGTTTATCCCAACACGGCACAGAGGCTGTATCTCGAGGACAGTGGTCCTCTGACGTCACACCGGCCCGTTTCAGACCGGAGGCTCGACCGAGCAGCCCGAAGGTGCGGGTGTAACAGCTGGGCAGGACATCGTCTCAGCTCAGATCCTGAATGAAAACATGGTCGCCTCTTCAGAGCCCCAGGTCGGTCACCTGCAGTGCGCGAGAGACGGAACTCTACCCTCTGGCGCTGGTGACGGATAATGGCGGACTCTCATGGGCACCGATGGGCCCATTAGAATAGGATGACCGCTTTTTCACCCAAGCTTTGACCGGCTTTGGACGTGCTCTTTGCAGTGCAACCTGGGCGGCATAAGCCGACTCTGCATGCCTTACATCCATCCCATGATCCTCCGCTTCTCTTCACTCTGAACTTAACCCTCGTCTCGATTCGCCGTACTCCATAACACGGACGGATAGGGGAGGCGGATGCGGCCTGAAATGCCACGGCCTGGTGGCCGCGGATCCCATACCGCAGCGTCAATCCAGCGGATGACCTTTGGGAAAAGCGAACAGTTTGCCACTTCCAGTGAAGCGCTGCATGCACGGCTGACGGCTGTGCAGATGTTTCGGAGCACATCATCACGGAGTATTCACCGGCTCTGGGGCTGGTAAATGGGGGCCTTGCATACGGCCTTGGCGAAGGCTGTGCTGCAGGTGTGTGCTGTGAAACTGCATCCAAGTCACGGAGGAGAGCAGTTCAGCGATGCTACGATCCAAAAGAGGATTTACTCCCGTAAAGCTCCTCCAACTCGCCAATTATGGCAGACTGTGCTCGGTAGCCCAACTAATCCGTGATTGGCCTTGCCAAGGGCTCCTTTGAAGTACAAGCGGTGCCGCACCGCCACTCTGCCCTGATCAGTCCACGGCTGAAAAGCAGGACTGTCGGTCGACCTACTTAGTGGGCAATGCTAAACTTGCACCCATCATGGCTCTACGCGGCTTTGGCATATCACCCCGTCGAGGCTGTTGCATCGAATTAGTGTTTGAACATATATCTGTGTTTATGACTTTGAGTGTACATTTTTTTGCAAAAAAGAAATCGTTCGTCGCGCAGCATTTGATGCGACGTCAGCAACTGCAGAGAGCATGCTAACGCTCAGTAGTCATGGTGCGAGCGGAGTCCGGCAAACGGACGAACCCGGACGAACCGAACGGACGTGGTGCCCGCGTGGGAGCTGAAGGTGCTAACCACTCTGTCATTGCATCCCTGTTTGTATGCTCCCTCCTCCTCCCCCTTGCCGTCTGTAGCTTGTTCATTTTCTCTCCCAGGCTGCGCAAAATGACCGCTATAGTTGACGCGTCCGAAAACCCAAATATCATCGTTATCATCTCCCAAGCCTCCTTAAAAATTTGATGCCACAATTTCTGCATGACACATAACCGTGCCACAATCATGAACTGAAATCTACGAAACAGCACCGCAAGCATTTTGATGTTGCCAAGCGACTGTGCGGCGATTTCTAGTTGATCTCCCCCGAGGGCAACACGTCTAAGGGAGCTCGGAGCGGCGCCACGCGCCTCGGCACGGATTTTGTGTGGAGTTCCCTCGAACAGCTCCACGGGATCAGCCTGATAAGGGATGCCGCGTCTTCGGCATATTTAATCCAAATGAAAGCGGAGCTCTAAAGGCATCTGTTTCTGACGCTGACGCTAGAACTCTTCCTGATTTGCATTTTTCTACCATTGTTAGAGTCACCCTCAAATTCCAAGAGTTCATGGCTCTGCTGGCAAATCGCTTTAACCTCACTGCTCTATTAAAGCAAACGTGGGACGTATGAGACGTACTGAGTGATCTCCCTGTATATTTCAGCGTCTAAATGCAATGATTCTCAGCACGTCGACTTTCTCGGCACGAAATTTACTGTATCGAGCAATAACTCTGCACAATCAGGGCGCAGGGCCTAAGCCATGTTACAAAAGGCATCTGTCGGTTTAGGTTTGCTGCCTAATACATGCCAAAAAATAATATCATATGTCCAAAGTACCTCCGGACCTACTCACACCATCACCTTGAACCTAGATAACTGTTCTAAGCTAAAGGTCATTGATGATAATTTAAGACCGTGACCTAACTTGGCCTTTAGAAGGTCATGGTAACCACAGGTCTACGAGATTCCTGTGGAGTTTGCTTTTGTGCCACCTTTAAGAAGTTTATGGAAGATGTCTCTTGCAGTACCTGTTATCAATAAACTCAGATGAGCACCAGAATCCACAGACGTACGGAACCCCATACAAAGCGCTCTCGAGTAAAAAATCAGGTTGGTTTCGACCATGTCTGAACAAATGTCAATTAAATTGATTATGCTCCTAAATTCAACCGTCGTATTGCTTACGCAAAAATTTCAGAGGTATATGGCTGCGTGTACACTCCGTTGCCGCATCAGGTTAAATTATTCTCTAGAAATTACATTCGGTGACACCCTAACTGCCATAGGTCATTGACCTTACAAGGCATATCTGATTTCTTAAATCAAACCATGCATTATTCAGTTTCCTACAGCTATGCATATTTTGGCGCGGATACACCAGGCCTTTCGAAAAGTACCATTTACAAACCTTCAGGAGTTAAACTGACGCCCACCCTGGCGCGTGCTAATGGATAAATTGGTATCCCGGGCATCAATCGTAAGCTTTTGATATTTAGAGTCTGTGTTCAAAGAATATTGAAATGAATGGACAATATTACATGGTGGTCAAAAAAAACGACTAAGTTTCGCGGGCATTCGCATGGCCAAAGCACCAAAACAATTTCGTTGAGCCCGATAACGAACAGTTTGATTGTATGAAATTTACAGATTTCATTCACACGAGGTAGCGAACAAAGAAATCAGACGTCAAATCAGATTCGATTGTCGCATGTATTGACAGCGTTAGTTCGCTCACTTCACTCACTCAAGTCAGTGAGTGAAGTTACCAAGTGAAGTGGAGCGAATTGATTCGGGTGTTGTGGTACACCTAAACCATTATGTATGCACGCAAATGAAGCTGGTGAATCGATTTAACTTTCACTGTCTCACAGAACGCTGTCCAGCGCTGTACCGATATGGCGTGGAAACAGGCGGCCAGGGGGACGTGGCGCCTCACAGTTGAAGGATATTTAGGTTAAGCACTGTGCCCGTGCATTAAAAAACTGACAACATTGTCATTCGACCCACTGAGGCGTTCCTTTGCCCATGGCTTCGCCTTCAACACCGCTTGCTCGGCCTAGCAAGCCGCCAGAGCTCGGCACCGGCGACCTCAAACTGTCCTGCCCGAGCGTCAGCACGTCTGTCACGGCGCGAGGGCTTCGTTTACGGAGGAGGGACGCCTTGTGTTCCTGGGCGTTCACCCGGCGTTGATCTATATCGCCCAGACGAAAACAAACGGCTGAGAAATGACCCCGCTCGCAGCTCCATTGTGCCTGTCATGACAGGAGATGCCCCTGCTCGGGGGACGAGGTCCTGGCGCCATCTAGTGTTTGGAATGGCCCAACACCGACAGCGCGGGCGTAACTACGCACGCCCCGGTGTGTTTTACGGCGACACGAACGACCTAGTTCAAAGTTGGGCTCAGCCCCGCCGTTCCACAGCTCCAAATCCGCCGCGAACGCTGTTTCCCAACGCGCACATGGCTGGGCGCACACATCGTGCAGCATGCGCTGTTGAACTGTTTTCTAATGGCGCCGTTTGTAGCCGACTATCGAAATAATGCCTGCATTCGGAGCGGATCCCGTTGGGTTGCGGGTACGTCGGGCCTTCGCTGGGCCCGATCTGTAGCCCGGCGGTGCGGTGACTGGAGCGCGCGGCACGATTCCGCCCATCCTCGCGCCAACACGACGCCATTTGTCTCTCGCCATCACCACTTTAGCTCTTATTTCACCGCCACCCAGCGATACTCGCGTGGTGTGCTCGCTTCACTTTCCCACCGAAGCCTGCACGCATCTCTGCTCGGTCTCGTTGTATGCAGTATGATTGCCCGACCACGTAGTCGCACTGTTGAGGCTGCACGTTATTCCAGCGCGTCTCGATGGTATGTGGCGAGTTGTGATGGCGATACTGGAGTCTCCACCCGCGCGCCGTCGGGGCGGACGTGGTCGCGCTTGGGTGGCACCGGAGGGTCCGCCCTCGTGTCGCCGTCACCGCCCGCCACCGGCCCTGAGTCTGCTGACACGGCGTGTCCATCAGGCGCGCCCGGCCGGGTCGGGGCCGGCCCGGCCGTGTATGGAGGGCGGGGGCGGGCGCCAGGGCCGCTGACTCACGGGCCAGCCCGGCTCCCGGCAGGCGGCTCCCGGCTCCCGGCGGGCGGCGGCAGCAGGCCGAGCGCTTCCGCGCCTCGCCGGGCACCGGGCCGGGCTGGCCACAGCAAACCGGCTGCCGCGGCTGCTAGTGACTTCCGATGCGAGACTCGCCGTTTTTGCGGTCGAGTGGATAGTATTTGGCTGGAGGACGGCGTGGTTTTGCAGGTGCAGATCGGCTCGGTCCCATCGCGGGTGTTTGCCGAGCATCTTCACTGGACGTGAGTTCCTGTTTGGCCGTAGCTCCCAATGGGAGGACGGCAGAGAGTGGGTGCCTCGACTGCAGGTGTGACACTATAACGGCGCGACGCACATCGCTCTTCCAAACCACCAGAAATCCAGAGAACCATGGATGCGTAGTTGAAGGTCTCTAATGCGTGCTGTAGCTTTATGGCGCCTGCGGGTCCGAGGTCAGAGGGCATGCCCTGTCTCGGGCCCGGACCGGACGGACGCCTCGGTCCGACCCGGGTCCGGACGGTCGGCAGAGGTGCGCCAGGTCGGCGCGACGGTGGCGCGCCCTGGTGGCAGCGGCCGCCGCGGCTCGGGCCGGACCGGGCCGGACCGGCCGGCGCCAGGTGAAGCAGCGAGCTGGCGGTGCGGGGCCGCGCCTGTTCAGCGTCCGTGCGCCGGCTCTGTGATCGTGTCCGGCACAGGGTGCGCGGCCGGCTCGGCGTCCGTGTCCTTGCAGTGCCGCCGTCCGTGTCCGCATCGGTGTCGTGAGCAGTGGTCACGCGACGCCCTGTGACATGAAGAAAGTGTTCTCCAACATTTTCGGCGGGAAGAAGGAAAAGGACAAGGATAAGGTAGGCGCTGCTCGTCTTTTCGTAGCATAAACGGCTGCTAGGTTTGAGTTTTTCCCTAAAGCACT